GCATCCTTCCCCCTGCGTCCTGCCCCGGCAGCCTCCGCTCCGCGGCCTCGGCCCCGCGGGCTCTAGCCCCGCAGCCTCCACTCTGCGGCCTCCGCCTTGCATCCTTCTCTCCACATCCTCTGCCCCACGGCCTCCACTCTGCATCCTCCGGCACCATGGCCTCCATGCCTGCATCCTCTGCTCCTCATCCTCCAGCACCGCATCCTCCTCTCCACATCATCCACCCTGCAGCCTCCGCCTTGCATCCTCCTCGCCTCATCCTCCTCTCTGCATCCTTCACTCCACATCCTCCGCTCCGCATCCTCCTCTCCTCATCCCCCTCACCACATCCTCCACCCTACGTCCTCCTCTCCACATCCTCCTCTTCTCATCCTCTACCCTGCATCTTCCTCTCCGCATCCTCCTCTCCACATGCTCCACCCTGCCTCCTCCTCTCCGCATCCTCCTCTCCACATCCTCCACCCTACATCCTCCTCTCCGCATCCTTCTCTCCACATCCTCCACCCTGCATCTTCCTCTCCGCATCCTCCTCTCCACATCCTCCACCCTGCCTCCTCCTCTCCACATCCTCCTCTCCACAACCTCCTCTTCACATACTCCAGCCCCAAGAAGTCACTTTGCACCAAGAACATCCCGAGCTGCTGCTCATAAGCACCAAGAAGACCTTCCTGCCCTCCCCTCCCAGCCCTTGCTTTATAATAAACACAAATAATAAATAAATAATCATAGGCCTGGGCATGTGCTCCTTGTTCAGGGAGCCAGCCCGGGTTAATCAGGGTTCCTGTGTCACTCGCTGCCAGCGCTCAGCGGAGAGGACACAATTAAGACCATGCTGATGACCGGCCGTTTGGAGGAGCCAGCTGAATTGTACAACCTGGTGCACAAAAGGAGCTACCATAAATACTATCCAAGAGCTGGAGTGCCCCTCACATCAGCACAGCAAAGCTCTGCAATGTAAAACATTGGTTTTCACACCCAAATGGAGCTCCTGTCTCATTATTTAATGTCGAAACGAGTGACTAGAATAAAATATGGGCTCAGAGCAGTCCCGTGTYGTGCAGAGATTTATTCAGGCGTGACGAGGGGCAGCATAAACCTGTCTCTTCCTATGATTTCACTGCTCTCTGAAGAGCTTCCCAACGATGCTCAAAATGAGGGACGAGAGAGCAAGACTGGAGGGAGGGAAGGGATCGGACGGGCGGCTCCGTAGGGCCTCTCCAAGAGCGGCGGGAAGGTGACCAAGGACTCAGAGGCAGCACCTTGGGGCTTCCAAAGGGCTGTGCGGAACACGCACAAGGGCTTGGGATGCGGCTGCAGCTGAGGGCCGCTTGGATCAAACTGAGATCCTTGAAGTTCTTACAGAGCCCGGAGGCCCGCGCCGAAGCCCAAGGCCTGCTGTGAAGCTGCTGCTCAGACCCGGGGGAACAGGCTGTGCCTGTCACGAGCAGCTCTCCATCCAATTCCCACGGCRGGCAGGAGACGGGAGGTGCCAGGAGCCAAGGACTCTGCCAAGGAGCCGCGATTACCTTGCASGAGCACGAGCAGCCTGCCCGAGTCCTCGGGCTGTCCATCTGGAGCCCTCCCTGCCGCTGCGTTCACTCCTGCTTCCTTCTACTGGGAAGTGGGAATGGTGACCGGCTCCTTCCCTGTCCCAAGAAAGGCTCTGGGAAGCCTCCAGAGCCCAACTGGAGCCCATCACACTGTCCCAACAGGAGGAGAGCAGCCCTGGGAGACCTCCCTTTGCTCAGAGTYGAGGAGAATTTCCCATATGTGTAACAGGAGCCCGGGGCCGCAGGGACAACTTCCAGCGGACACGGTTTTGTTAGAAGATCCAAGCATCTCCAGGGCCATTTTCCTTTGGCAGTGCATGGCGGAGCAGGATGCCTTCACGCCGCAGTGCGTGTTGAAGCCAGCGTGTCTTTTTGTGCAAAGCCCTAGTCTAGACAAGCTGTTGATCGCCCGGTGTCAGGGACCGCGACCCCGCTCCCGCAGCAGGGCCACCGTGCCCTCCCCCGGGTTCATTTCTCAGGCATATGCTCGTCTATTTTGAACCGCGTGCACGTGTGAGGCCGAGTCGACCCTAATCTCGTCTCGCTCMCCAGGCGTCAGTCGCACTGGCACGTGCCTCTTCCCCGTCTGCCTYGCTCTGTTTATGGACTGTGGGTATTTTTAACACAGCCCTCTAATTAGAGCTACTTTTCCCGGGACGTTTTGCACGCAGGGGTCAGCAGCAAGCRCCTTGCGTGGGAACCTCCCCGCTGCATAAACACTCTGCAGCTCCCCGGGCATCTCCCGGGGTGTCCATGAGGTCCCTTTGCTGCTGTCCCGAGCCAGGCAGTGCAAGGACTTTCCCCCCGCCTGCCGTGGAGCTCTGCGCTTGCTTCGCAGGGGCGTAACCCCTGCCACACGAGTTGTGCTTGCAAAGGCGATTAGGCAGATGCCAGCTAATTTGCAGCAGGCAGGTCGGAGGCAGAAGTTGCCACTTATAGATGGCAAAYGAGCAGACCCGTCCGCGCTGTCACGGCGGGCTAATGCATCCTGACATAAACCTGGTTTAGCTGTGAGTTTGCTGCTGCTAATCCCACTGCTTCTCCCTCCTCTGACACCTGCGTTTCCCAGGCCAGGACAGCAGGTTCTGCTCGGATTTTTGCTGGAGATGGCAGTTTATTCCATACTTTTGCCTAAACAGACRCTTCTCCAGGCTTCCTCCCAATGGCACCACGGGGAATTTTGGCCTGTTGTTTGGAGAGCCAAGCAGCCAAGTTAAATATTGTGCTCATCTTTGAGGGATGGCTGATGACTGCATGACCTACCAGGGCTTTGGAAGGGAAGAAGAGGGAGTTTGGGAGCCTGGATCCTCCYGGGTCCGGCTTCTTCCTTGCAACCCTGCACAGCACCCGTGAGTGGAGGGGAAGACATTTCCATGCAGGAAAGCACTGGCTGCAAAGCTTGGAAATGCCCCTTGCCTGATCGCCCCTAGGTAACAACAAGGAATTCTGTGTGGCTTTGGATGCAAAGGCTGCTCCTGACCCAACCATGGTGCCCGGCAATGGCAACCCCTTGGCAGGCTCCCTGTGTTTTGCTGGAAACCCTGCTGGTTTTCCACCCGGGGACTGCTGCGAGTGTCCCAGCTCTCCTTGCTCGCCTCATCCACCCGCACAGAATTAGCGGCTTTTCCTTGCAGTGCTGGTAAATGCTGGAGAGTCCGGGCCTGGCTCTGCCTTCCCATTGGGCTCTGCACTCCTCTGCATCCACAGCACATCCCTGCTGCCCCACATCCCTTGGATCAGCCCCTGGAAGGAGGTCAGAGAAGCTGGGACCAGCAGCACGGAAACTGGGTCACCAGTTCCAGGAGGCATCTCCAGCCAGGGCTTCTCCAGCCCAGGGGTTCCCTCTGGTGGCAAGAGGCTCCCC